AGGTTGTCGAAACGTCAGTCGCCAACAACAGTTCTTTTCAGAACTACACTCACCCGGACGATCACACTATTCGAATGTGATCTCATTCAACCTAAGAAATAGGCCCTTTGCACGATCCGGTCACATGGTACAAAATCACACATGCTGGTGAGCAAGCTGCGCAGTGGGACTCCCAAAACAATGCAACTCGTACCAGTCCACCTGGACCTGCCTTTGTTTTGTAAGTCCCACAACGCAACTTGCTCACCAGCATGTGTGATTTGTACCATGTGACCGGATCGTGCAAAGGGCCTATTTAATCAACTTCAACCAAAGTAAAGAACCGATCACAATCAACGAAAAGAAATTTGACCAGATTGAACAGTTTGCGGTCTCAGTCAAGCGGCAAATCCGATCACATTCGAGAAGGGCGAAAACGTCTGTCAACAAATCCCATGATCCTCTACGAAGGTTGTAGCATTGGGTTGGACTGGGGCTAAATTGTTTTACAAGATGGCGGACGGGGATTCTTCGGGGTGTTTCTAGCTCACGGGCGTAGATTGAAGGTGACTTCCTCTCGGGTACCTACACAAAGAAACACTGTGTCAACTAAATCTTAAGTCTTACAACTTTTTATGACGAAAAAGAGCTGCATAACTTTGCACTCACTTGGAGTCGAACCAGGGCCGACGTGACCTTTCTTACCACTCTACCACCGTGCTGCTAGCTGCCAGAAATGCAAAAATCTAAACTAAATATAATGAACAGTAATATAAATTAATATAGAGTTACCCTAACATACAAATGAAAGCTAACCGCAAGCAAAATGGAGTGAAGCTAACCGCGAGCAAAATGGAGTGACACTAACTGCAAGCAAACCTAACCGTGCTAACCGCAAGCAAGCCAAGAAAAGTAAACATGCAGGCGTCCAAACCCCCATACTCCGCCACCCTCGTTCCCATGGTCCTCTCTCTTCCTCTCTCGAGAAAGTACCCTAGCTGGTCACGTGTCTGTTAGATTTTTGCAGATTCCAGAGATGTGATTGAAGGGAGGGGCTGGAAAGTTAAAGTTTGTCTCAGCACAGAGCGTGCCTACTGAGCCCAGTAGGAAGTGGAATTTGTAACCCTCCCGTTGTGGATCGGCAAAAATCACAGCGAAGGCATTGACACATTTGATATAGGAGTTCAATGCGTTCAATGTTCGGCTAAAAGGTTAGCTCTGCATTTAGCTGAATTTTCCCTGTCGATAGTTGGACGGTCTTTGGAATTTGTGGCAGTGAACAAATTTGGCAAAGAACTTGG